TTGTTTTCTGTGTTTTGTGGCCTGTCGAGGTGATCCGCGACCGAACGTCTGAGAACCACCCACCTTCCCCCCCCCCCAGTAATACTTACTGTCACTGGGTGGTACTGTACACTGTCTGCTTCATCTTCCCCCCCGCCGCCTCCACCTACAGATATGCAGTGGGAGATGGGTGCCCGCGCAAGGTGTGGAGTGGTGGGTGGTCCGGTGCATTGGTGGTGTGCTGCGTGGTTCGCCGCAATTGAAAGCGGGAGATGATCATGGCTTGGACGTCCCTAAACGCTTGGAAGGCCACAGTACGAGCCCCCTCGCCTCCTTGGCTGTGTTGCCTTGGCAAAAGAGGTGGAAAACCGAAAGGCAAAAAAACGGGAGACGAGCCTTCTGGAGATGGGGCCACAGGCAAACCAACGTGCCAGCGCCTTGCCGCCCAGGCCGCGGCGCCCTTGGCAAACAGAGTCGACGGTCGAGAGCGGAAAGTGGATGGTGGGGGAGTACCTACGTACGGGTAACGCTGAAGCGCTGGGAGACGGAGATGTCAATGGAGATGCAGCTTCCCTCTTCCCTTGTTCCCTCCTTTGCTGGGCACGCCTTCTCGTCATGATGCCGACTCGCCGAACATCCGCAGGGTTGCTCTTGTTAGTGTCGCCTTCCTGCATTGTGTCTCCACGGGCGCAAGACGCCAGCAAACGTTATCCCCGGATAGCCTGCCTCGTACTTGCTCCTTTTATCCGATTATTGGGACGCAGGAAAGGCAAGAAGGAAGGAAGCAGTCGCAGTGGATAGGTGGGGCCTGCCAGGCGGACCACGGCGGCGGCGGCGGCGATGGAGGCAGGCAGAAACAGCAACGGATAATTACAGGCAAAAGGTACACCTGCTAGGTAGGTAGTTAACTAAGGTAGGTACCTAGACATTGGTCAGTGAAATGGCCTGCCGTTTGATGCTTCTCCTACGCGGCTGCAGGCTTACCTGCTGCTCGCCGAGCTCTCTGTTATCCATCTCTATGCATCTTTCCGCCTGTTGCCTCGTCCTTTGTGGGACGGTAGCCTACCCCTCCCCCTTCAACAAAGCGGTGACAAGAGATAGAGTCCACCATGGCGGTTCTCTCTCGAACGATCGACTGCCCAGGTAGTCCTTCGACCCCTGGACCCCTGGTTGGGGTCCCCTGCCCAGCCTGTCCTCTGCTGGCGCCATCAGCTTTGGCTGCTCGCGAGGAGACCAAGCCCGGCTCCGTCATCTCGACGTTGTCACTCACATACTTCTTCATCCTCTCGCGCCACACGATGAAGTCCTGACAGTCCGGTCGCGAATCATATTATCACCTGCCCTCACCGAGTAGCACTACTGTCTGCCTGCCGGTGGAGCACGGCTAGGAAGGAAGAAGGAGGCGTCATCTGGGTGGGGAACGATCTACCTCTCACAAGCCACTTTTCGCTCCTCTATCGATTGTCTTGTCTCCGCCTTCCATTCACAGCAGCAGTTCGCCGTCTCCACGTCTGCTCAACCAGGTCCCTTGAACGAGTGCAACTACACAGGTGTCTGGCGGCTTGAATGTCCCATGTGGTTTGGTTTCACTCGCCCGCGGAGACGGACTCGTGGCCGGGCGGCGATGCTGATCGATGCACACAAAGACCGCATCTGGTGCAGAGAGGCCCGCAGTTCAACGTGGCTTGTCGGAAACCTCACAAGCGAACTCGCACGAGCAAACATACTTGCTAGGAATATCTCGCACTGATGGCCTCGCTATTTTTGGACCTAAATTTTACTACGAGCGCACCGCCTCGGGCACGGCTCGCGCTATTTTATGCTGGTGTCTCTCACAGTACTCGTATCGGAAATTGCAGCAGACCAGATATGAGTCTCTATTCGGTTGACCCCCAAAAAGGCCAAGCGCAAAGAGGATGGCAAAGAGTCGCAGCAGGGTCCGCGGGGTGTTTGACCCGACGGAGACCCCCTACGTCATTGTGCCTGAGCATGGCATTGGGCTTCTGCGCTAGAGAGGGGAAAGAAGGCAAACGGGAACCTTGTTGCGCGACAACATGCAAGCCCCTACCATCAACGCAGAGTCTGATAGCAAGCAGGGCGCTCGAGGGTTGTGTGACATGTCTTAGCCGTAGGTGAGATCGTTGAGGAAGTCATTGAACATAGTGGTGTCACATACGTAGCAAACCCAACACCGTGCCGCATGTGGCTCCGTTACAAACAGCCATTTAGCGACTGCGAGCGCCAATTCTCAAGGCGATGAGCAGCATATTCGCCCGACTTGACTTTGCCCCATGTGACGGTCTCAAACATTACGCCGGCGCCTCAGAGATGCTCACCTCCGCTCCCCCCTTGTTACCTGGAACGGAGTTCCATGCAGGCCTCCGACTGTGCCAGACAATAAGCTCGAATTCGCCCAAGCGCTGATCTCTAGTCTTGTCAGATACGCCGTAGCCGAATCAACTCTGCCACACTTTTTCTTTCCAAATTTCAGCAAGGACTGGTCTCTAGGTATACCAAGCCTTCCGAAGATCCTCGGCCGACGATCGCGCCCATCTCTGCGTAATGACACGGTTGATCACTACCACTACCGCGCCGGCAGATTTTCGGGGGCCCCTTTTCTGGCGTTAGGAATCACATGCTTGAAAGAAAGACGTGTTTCGCGCAAATACTTTATTGAGACTGATTTGGTATATCGAAAGGCAAAGCGACAGCAAGAGAAAAAAAAGTGGCGCGCTTCGCGCGGCGTGTCGAAATGAGCTGTTTCGTGCGAACTCTGGTATCAATCCCGCGTCTCGTCATTCCATTAAACCTCCTCACATCATCTCTCCGTGCGCATCCCACACAATGTTGGTGGGGTTGGCAAAGATGCGTCTTACGGCATCATCCATGGCCGTGTGATAAGAGGCGACTGTCTTGCACCGGGCGATCGTAGAGCCAGATCCAGCAGTCCCCCGACCCCCGGCTCACCTCGACCAACCCGTCGGGAAGGCTCGCGTCATTCGGCTGCAGTTTCGTGTGTTCAAACCCTGGCGCGGCCGGTGAAGCGCGAGTGACGCTCGCGGTGACGGAACCAGTAGATGCCCATGAAGATGGCCGTGATCAGCCAGAGCAAGGCATTGGCGAGGAGCACCCAGACTGCGTTCTTCATGCGCTCAATAGCACCGTCGCCCTCTGCATTTTCGTTGATGTACATCTGGAGAGGAGGGTAACAGTGTCAGCAGGTCATGTTTTTTGCGGGAGAGCTGGGAAGGGTGGCTAGCTTCGGGTCCTACTCACATGGCCAAAGATGCCGAATGCAACGATCCAGAGGACGAAGAGAACAAAGTCCCACACAAAGGTGAAGGCGAAGCGCAGGATGAACGGGACCATGAAGAGGAGGGCCGTCAGGGCGGAAAGAGCGCCGACGACAACGGCGTAAACCCATTTCGCGTCGACGTAGCTGTCGGCCTCGCGCGCGCGCTGCAGATCGGTGCCATAGAGACCGATGACTGTGATGGCGAGGACGAACTGGAAGAAGTGGATGACGGTCAGGGAGAGGTAGACCACCCCCAGCTCGAGAATCGACTTGAAGCCCATCGCGGCGTTGTGATGCAGTTGTTGATTGCAGTGAGTGAATCGGAGTATTGGTGATGACGTCGTCGTCGTGGTGTGCTTCGCGACTGACAGGGTCAACAGATCTTTTGCTGGATGTATCGATTTGGTTTTGTGGAAGGAGCAAACAGGAAGTCGTCGAGCAGGCGGATTGTTTATTGATTAAGAACAAGTAGGCCTTGACGCAACCCTGTCGGTGAATCAAGAACCGGTCACGATCAGGTTCTTGTTTGCTGGCGAGTACACCAAATAATCTCTTCCCTCCCTTAGACCAAAACTCTAATCCCATGAACTGGCGCACCTTTTTGGGCAAGGGAAAGGGGGGGGGGGGGAGGCGTGGTGCCCGGCTCAGTTCAGCTCCGACTCCAACAAATCCAGGGTCCAAGGCCCAGTTCCTGTCGATGACAAGGGACAGTAACCCTATGACGCACTTGAGCGAACTTTCTGCCAGCATGATTGGCTGTCCTATTGCTCCCCGTTCACTGCATTTCGTCCGATGACTCCACTGGCAGCACTGACCACACGCTGTGGAAGGGGCCGTTCATGACCGCCTGACCTCGAAGCTCTGCGAACACCTACCACGGGATGCTGACGTTTGGGGACGGTGCTCGTGATACTCCTGGTACACCATTGGCTCATCGGCTCGGCGGTGAGGGCTTCAATTGCTGCAGCCTTGCGTCTCGCCTGTCGTTGAGCGAGGATTTGCAGCGCTGTCGACGGCTCTTACAACGTGCACATGGGTTCTTTCTGTTCTTTTGAGCACTCTCTGTCTTGTCAGATTCACCATTTCGGCAACGGCGCGTCAAAACTTGACTTGTGGATTCTCCAGCCATCATGTCAGTGCTTGCATCTAACCGTGAGAATGATTACGTTCTGATAGGAGCCCTTGCACGTCGTGTGGTGCCTGGCATGTATACCTATGCTCGATCCACTCGCATCTCGACGGTAGCGCCAAGAACTAGCGATACCTGCATCGAACCAGTGGCCACAGTGAGGTCACTCAGAAACCGACAAGAAACTCTGTACCTATCAGGCTCAACAAGAGACTGACGTGTTGCCGGGCACGTTCGTCACAGTTTCTCAGTTCAGGCCTCCAAATAAAGTCAAGAGTGTCTTCAACCCATCCCCAGCGACTGTTTGAAGAAGGACCGGCTGGCCCAAGGCCGAGTCCCATGGTCATTGTGTGGCGCGGCCAGGCCAAGTTGCAAGCGAAGAGTGAGCAAGATATATAATGTAGAAAATAAATCAGTTGGCTTCGAATGAGCTTTGCAAGGCTATTTCATAATATTTTACAAACATGGGCATCAGCCCTATGGTACATCTGCTGTACAGCGACGCGGGATTTTCCCAACACCCTCTCATGGGCATAATCCGCCATCGGGTATCCTAGAAAAACATTGTGTAAACACGCTCATCGTTTAACGATGGTTTCACGGCACCGACAGCGGGACGTTGTTGCGACCCCTCTTGCGGTCGTCAAACGGCACGCCGTACCGCGCACCTATGCCCTTGTGGCCGCGTCCGGTCTTGCCGACAACCTCGACGTTGACGTCCTGGAAGCGGTACTCGAACCGCTTCGTGTCAACACGAGACGTTTGCGACATCTCGAGCTGCACCTTCTTCTGGTGCTTCTCTTTGAGGCGGTCCTCCTCGGCTCGCGTGTCGGCCTTGAACTTGAAAAGGCTCGTCTCAAGGGGCACGCCCTCGAGGGTAGCCTTTTGTAGCTCGATGAGCTGCGTATGCGGCGCACGTTTGTCGGCCGGCAGCAAGCTGCGGTGGAAGGCCTCGGCGGCATCTTCGCGTGTGAAGACGCGAGACTCGGAGGTGGGCACGAAGAGCTGCTGTTGTGAGAGCTTGTGAACATCAATCTCATGGATGGGTTCATGCTCAAACTGATTCTCAGGGTTGTAGCTCGTGGTGGGCACCATGCCGAGTATTGCCTTGGAATATGGCTTCGCCAGCTGTTTCCCCTACAAAGTGATGTGTTAGCCAGTTGTTTTCTCCAATAGCGTCCGTGTAACGAATGGAAAAGTAAACAGCTAATCAGCGAGGCTCGCAGTGCCAATATTGTAACCATGTTGTGCGTCTTCAAGACTAATCGATTTGTGAAAGATGGATCATCATGAAAGCTGTGATAGAAGTATCTATCATAAGAGAGAGAGAAAAAAGAAGTAGCGACTTTTCTTACCTTTGCCTCCCACTGCTTCTCCAGGGCCTTCAGCCGCACCACGGCAGCAACGCGGCGGATGTCGACACCCAGATCAGCTGAAACGGCCTTCAGCGACAGTTTTTGTTGCGTGACGCGCTTGAATATCTCCTCTCGCATGCTCTCGTCCAGAACGCGTGGGCTCCTGAAGAGCGGGTTGAGGGGGAACGGCTGATCGGCGGCCTGGCCGAGATACTTGGTGCCATAAGTCGGCGCTTCCTCGAAACGGCGGCCGGTCCTTTCCATCCACTGGTACATTGAATTACGCAGCTGCGACGTCTTCTCGCAATGCGACGTCGTGGAGAAGGGGCACGTGGTCTTGGCCAGACCCAGGCGCGGTGCTGTCGGTCGCGTGCAGCGCTTGGCCGTCATGGCCATGGCCGACGATGCCGGACGCGCGGCCATTCTTGTGAAGTGTGGGAAAGGTGTGGAGGTTGAATTGCAGGATCGCCGAACGCGAGCCTCGATGCGTTGTCCTATGGCGGGTGGTGCATTTGGGACGTCGCGGTCGTGCTTTGATGAAACGACCACGGTCAAGTTGTTGTGTAGGAAGAAAGGAGAGTCGGCCTGGCACCAGTTTTGAGGTCGGGGACACGAAGCAAATTTTCCAGGTGCATGGTCCGTGCTCCGAAGCTCCAGGCGAGCGCCACGGGCCGGTCCTATCCCGGTGTTGAGCCCCGTGGTTTGCAACCAAGCCTTGCGATTGCGATCAGGTAAAATTCAACAAGAGATCGGTCAATCCGTCGCGGCGGTCGGCGGGCCGTGAGAAAGCAATACTTGAAAGTATGACGGCTTAAAATTCAAGTCAATTGGCATATACTGGTTCTTCATCACAATGTGTCCATGCTTGGTAGTAAACGTGCTGCACTGGCTCAGAAACACGCTACTCTCCGTAGCCCTGACGCTTGTGGGAGAAGTCTTGACATTGCGTAGTATTCATGTAGATGTATTTGTGTGTGTATGTGTTCTCGAGGATTAATGTACTCTGCTCTCATATATGCGAAAAGAAGAAGCTCCTCTTCCTGGCGTCGCTGGTGATTTGGTATTACTTTGTACACGATCAATACGTTGTACAACAAAAGAACTGCCGTTGGGAGACTGGGGCTTAATCGTGTGCTGCCCCTCATGATATATCCTATGCCGCTGCCGTCGTCACTGACAATCGGTTCTTCTTCGATTTCGCCTTGGCGCCCGCCGCCTTCTTTGCGGCGTCGTTCTCCTCGGCATCCTGTGCAAAGTCCTTCCACTGCCTCCATCCGTCGAAATCAATGAGGGCTTGCATGCATCCCCATTCCATGACCTTGCGTTCTAGCCACACAAAGTTGACCGGCTGCAGGATGGTTAGCTTCTTCGTGCCGTGGCCTCAGTCGGCATCTGCGGAGACGTACCTTGGTCAAGAAATCGTTGCAGCCGGCAGCCAACGCCTCGTGTCTGTCGCTCTGCAGGGAACTGGCTGTCAACGCAACAATGATGACCGGGCTTTTGAACAGCTCAATGTTGGCGAGACGATCCTTGTCTTCAATGTCGCCCTCCGTTCCCTCAGGCTCGCTCGTCACTGATCCGGAGAAGACGCCCGAAGCAGACGACGAGAAGACACCGATCGAGTTGACGCGCTCGAGTCGTCTGATTTCTTTCGTGGCATCGAGTCCATTCATGATGGGGAGTTGGATGTCCATGAGCACGAGATGAAAGCCTCCGCCCTTCCACTTCTTGACGGCATCCCTGCCATTCATTGCAGTCTTCCAGCGCACCTTTAAACGTTTGACAAACGCTTCGAGCAACTTCAGGTTGATAGGGTTATCCTCGACGATGAGCACGTTGATTGGGGGAACGCCACCGGCCAGCATCCCGGATGGGAGCACGGGGTGAGCGGGTGCGATCTTCTTTCTTGCCGGCCGAGCGCTGGAAGGACGTGGAGACGCAATTCTCGGGGGCGGGGTCGAGATTCTTTGCATCGTCGACGGCATTTCTGGAGCAGGAGGTGTAGCTAGGGGAGGTGCTGGTGGCACAATGGCAGCTGACTCGGCCGAGGCGTTGGACTGCGTTCTTGAGGGTGGTAACCTGGGATGGAACGAGGAGTGTACGGGATGAGCTGTGGGAGGCCCACCCACATTAGATGGCACGCCGTTGATGAAGGTCGGAGATGACGTATGCGTCCTTCCGAGTTGTGGCCTGTTCGGTCGGGTCTTGTACGCATGCGAACGACCGGGGGAGGGAATGGGGGGAACCTGGCCCGTCCCAAGGATCGATATTGAATGTGGGAGGTGTCCTGTGTGCTGAATGTGGATTGCGTGAGGCGGCGGCGGGCCGCCGTTTGGCGCAGCCCCGGGGACTTCGAGGTTGGGGGAGGGGATGGCGCCGACAGGTGGGAAATAACCTTCTCCAGCCTCCGAGGGCCTCCCTGTGTCATGGGCGTAGTATACGGCTGTCGGATGGGAGACGGCGCCTCTCGGCGATGGTCGAGGTGTTCGTCGGGTCGGTATGTCAATAACGAGAGCCTCATCGACGGTTTGACCGCCAGGGAAGTATGCGTCGATGGTGCGACCCATGGGTTCTTCGGGACCCAAAAGCCTCTCCTGCCGCTCTTCGCGCGGAAAGATACGCAATGTCAAGTCGGGGGCGTCAAAGTGTCTTCCCAAGGAGTTTGTGTATTTCTTCAGGATCATGTCGCGTACGTCGTCGACCAGGTCTTCTTCGTTGATCGTGATCAGAGTGGCCGAGGCACCGGCCCGCTTCACCCAGATCTTGCGGGTCACCATGTTGGCGTTGATCGACAGCAGATGGTCGGCAGTCAAATCTGCCTCGTTGATGTTGGCGGCTTGCAGCAGAGTCTTGATGAGGGCGTCTTGTCGGTTCGGGAGAAGGCTCTGCCGGCGCGGGGGACCGGTCGGCCTTGCGATGGAGGAGGCGGAGGGGGATTTTGGCACGGGCGCGGGCGCTGTCGCAGGCGCGGGTGTTGGAACGTCAGAGGCTGCAGGCCCACAATGCAGCGGGTCGAGCTGATCGTCTTCGTCTTCGTCGTTGTCGTCGTCGTCGTCGGGATCAGCAGCGGCAGCGGCAACGGCAACAGCAGCGGAGGCGGCGGCGGCAGCGGCAGCGGAGGACGCAGCAGTATTGCGAGCAGAGGTGGAAACAGAGGGAGGGAGCTTTGTGGCAGGTGGGCTTGCGGCGATGCTAGCGTCAACTAAGGTTTGGTTTTCGTTGATGCTGGCCAGACTGGACGTGGTTGCGGCCATGGGATGGTGCAGATCGTTTCCAGTACCATCACTAGCCGTACGCCGCTTTGGGGCGGCTGACAGCTGGGAGCTGGGGTCACGGGTAACTGACTCTTGCGGCTGCACCTCTTCACTGGGCGACGTCGAGGCCGTGGACGAAGACGTTGTCGTGCTATCTTCAGGGGAAATCACGATTCGGACGGGTGCCTCATCGGCGTCGGGCACGGGCGCTCCTAGGTTGCTGCTGGACTGAGGGTCAAGGCGGACAGAGGCAGGGCGCGAGTGATTGTCTGTCGAGGCGAGACTCCTTGACTCGTCTCGCTGGGAAAGCTGCGTCTCGCCGTGGCTGTGGCTGTGGCCCGACTTGACGGAACCCGACGTCGAACTTCTTCGAGAGAACTTAGCTTTGAGGCGAGCTTTGAGATCGCTGCCCATGGGGACAAGGCCCAGCTCGGCCACTGCGCACGCACAAGTATGGGACGATACCGAGCGAAATGAGGCGTGTGAGACAAGGCTTGCCCTCTGGCTCGTGGTGGAAGGCGTGACACCACACGTGGAGCGACGTGTCGGCGTGAGGGGGCAGAGGAAAGAATTGAGCGGCGTAGAATACAAGCCGATGGACAAACGTAGTTAAAGGCGCTTCGAGACTAGAACCAGGCCGTCCCCGAGAGACGGAGAGAGAGAGAGAGGGTGAGAGGGTGAGAGAGAAGAAAAGACAGCGGCCGATTCCTGAGCCAGTGAAGCACGATGCTGCTTTGGGTGTTAAGATTAGCTGCCAATGGGGGAGCCGTTGGGGGAACACTTGAGCTCTCCTCGAGCCCTCCAGTGACAGGACTTTTTCTTTCTCTCTGTATGCAAGATAGGAGCAGGAGCAGATGCATTACCAAGAGTGGCAGCAACTTGATGTGAATTATAACGGGGCACGACTCCCGATCTGATCGCCCCGGACGGTCCAGACCAGTTGATGAGCTGGCGGACCAGACAGGAGGCGATGGGGGAGATATGAGGCGCCAAACAGAGCCGTGGCCAGAGCCAGATCGCGATCTTGAGTCACGTGGCTGGTACTGAGAGGAAGACCAGGTCGGCAGCTGCGAACAGCTGGCAGCACGAAATCTTACTCAGCAGAAGCACATGCGCGTCCTCACACACATACCCACACACACATACACACACACGTACATAGTTACAGGCAAAAGTTTCGATGCCCTGCCAGGTATCTTTAGACCCTGCTTGTGGGGCACGCTTAGAAGGTACAACAGCTGGGGGTTCCATTTCTTGCACAAAATTATACCACCTTAATAAGGCTGGTCCATAAGCCAATGAGATACAGCTAAATTGCCAGGGCAGTCGATGGGGAAGTCGATGAATAATAAGCCCCCTAGTCGCCCCCCGGTCGGTACTGGTTGAATGGTCGAAACTTACCACATACCACTGTACCACGTACCACGCCCCCCCCCCCCAAGGCCGGTGAGGCCACTTAACCACAATTTTGGACCCCCCTTAGAGCTGAGCTGTTGGTGCTTCCTGGTTGGATGGAGGTGCAGTGTAGCGTCCCGCGCCCCTTTACGATACGAAGCACGTAGGAACGAACAGGCAAGCAGGACGGATTCGTCTTCCCTCCCTTTCCACCTCGATCCCTTCGTCGACTCCCGACCTCCGTTTGTCGTTTGTCGTTTTCAATAGAACCTCGCTTCTGCTGAAGGCAATTGTTCCGTCCAGAACAGACAGCAGTGCGACTCCATGACGGCCAGCTGATGACCTTCTCTTCACGACACTCCTTCGTCCATTTTTATTTAACCTGTCCATCACACCTCCTTCCCCCTGGTCCGTTTGTCCCTCTTCGACCAACGACTCGGATCCCTTCTTTTCTTCAAGCGGTCTACACGTCGGCCTCGAGGACGCGAATCACTCGTCTCTCATCCTCGCCCTGCCTTGCGCGCTGAAGTTCGTCCGCCATGGCTCCACCAAGCGTGGCCCCGAGCTCCAAGCTCGCAGAGAAACCCGTCGCCAACTCGTCCAAGACGATTGCGAAGAGGCAGAAGAAGACGAGCTACAAGTCCGATGGCGTCAAGGACAACGATGTCTTTCTGCTTCCCGGCACAGACTACCAGATTGTCGTCGCTCTGACCATTCTCGCCGCCATTGTGCGCCTGTTCCGCATCTACCAGCCTTCCAGCGTCGTCTTCGATGAGGTCCAGTACGTCCCCCTCCGGACCCTCTCTTCTCACGGGCGTCCGACCCCTCCGTTGATCGCCCCAGTCGAAACGTCATGCTAACCTTGCCTCTTCTCAGCTTCGGTGGCTTCGCGTCGAAATATATCAAGGGAAAATTCTTTATGGATGTCCATCCACCTCTCGCCAAGATGCTTATCGCATTGACCGGCTGGCTCGCTGGCTTCGATGGCAACTTCGACTTCAAGGAGATTGGCAAGGACTACGTTGAGCCTGGTGTACCCTACGTGGCCATGCGCATGTTCCCTGCCATCTGCGGTATCCTTCTCGCGCCCGCCATGTTCCTCACTCTCAAGGCCACTGGGTGCCGCACCACAACGGCCACCATGGGCTCTGCCCTGATTATTTTTGGTCCGTCGGAACATGGTACCCGTGTGCATTTCCCGACCTCAGGCTGACATGTCCGCAGAGAACGGCCTTCTAACCCAGGCTCGCCTCATTCTTCTCGATTCGCCCTTGATGGTCGCCACTGCCTTCACCGCTCTCGCCTTCACCTCCTTCACCAACCAGCACGAACTTGGCCCCGAGAAGGCGTTCCAGCTGAGCTGGTGGTTCTGGCTGGTTATGACTGGTCTGGGACTCGGTACCACCCTCAGCATCAAGTGGGTTGGCCTCTTCACCATTGCCTGGGTCGGCAGCTTGACGCTGGTTCAGCTGTGGGTTCTGCTCGGCGACACCAAGACGGTCACTCTGGTACGTATTGTTACTTCCGTGGTGCTGCATGTTCCGGCGATGGCGCATTTCTGACCGATTCATCAGCGCATCTGGTTCAAGCACTTCTTCGCCCGTGTCTTCTGCCTCATCGTCATTCCTCTGACGTTCTACCTGGCCATGTTTGCCATTCACTTTGTGTGCCTCGTCAACCCTGGCGACGGCGACGGCTTCATGAGCTCCGAGTTCCAATCGACCCTCAACAACAAGGGCATGAAGGATGTCGCGGCCGATGTCATCATGGGTAGCCGGGTCAGCATCAGGCACGTCAACACACAGGGCGGTTACTTGCACTCGCACCCCTTGATGTACCCCACCGGCAGCAAGCAGCAGCAGATCACCCTGTACCCCCACAAGGACGACAACAACGTCTGGATGCTGCAGAACCAATCGCAGCCTCTTGACATCAATGGCCTGGTGATCAACGGCACCAGTGCCTGGGATGATCTGGACCCCGTCTACATCAAGAACGGCGCCGTCCTTCGCCTGTACCACACTCAGACCAACCGACGTCTGCACTCCCACGATGTCCGCCCTCCTGTCACCGAGGCTGACTGGCAGAACGAAGTCTCTGCGTACGGATACGAGGGTTTTGACGGTGATGCCAACGATTACTTCCGTGTCGAAATCGTCAAGAAGCAGTCTATCAGTGCCGTCGCCAAGGAGCGGCTCCGCACCATTGAGACCAAGTTCAGGCTCGTTCACGTCATGACCGGTTGCGTTCTCTTCTCGCACAAGGTCAAGCTCCCCGACTGGGCTTCCGAGCAGCAAGAGGTCACCTGCGCCAAGGGTGGTACCCTCCCCAACAGCCTGTGGTACATCGAGGCCAACCAGCATCCCAAGCTCGGAGAAGACGTCGAGAAGGTCAACTACCGCCACCCCGGCTTCTTCGGCAAGTTCTGGGAGCTACAGCGTGTCATGTGGAAGACCAACGCTGGCCTTGTCGATTCTCACGCCTGGGACTCCCGTCCCGAGGCCTGGCCCGTCCTGAAGCGAGGCATCAACTTCTGGGGCAGGCAGAACCGCCAGATTTATCTCCTCGGCAACCCCATCGTCTGGTGGAGCTCTACTCTGGCCATCGCCGTCTATGTTCTCTTCAAGGCGTTTGCCGTTCTCCGTTGGCAGCGCAACTGCGGTGATTACTCCAACACCATTTTCAAGCGTTTTGACTACGAGATCGGAACCTCTGTTCTCGGCTGGGCTTTCCACTATTTCCCTTTCTACCTCATGGCTCGTCAGCTTTTCCTGCACCACTACTTCCCCGCTCTTTACTTTGCCGTCATTGCGTTCTGCCAGATCTTCGACTTTTTCACTGCCCGCCTTCCTATCTTCCAGAAGAACACTATTGTCAACAAGGCCGGCGCCGTCATTTTCCTCGCTCTGACCGTCGCCGTCTTTGTCCTTTTCTCTCCCCTTGCCTATGGCAACCAGTGGACCAAGGCCGAGTGTAACCGCGTCAAGCTTTTCGGCACTTGGGACTTTGACTGCAACACCTTCCCCACGGACGTAAGTACTACCGAGACGATCCCCCAAAGACAACTGCCCGTGCGGGGCTGATGAAGGCCTTCCCGCTTTTCGGGGCAAGGCCCTCCCATGTTTGGTTGTTTTGGTTCGCGTACTAATCTGCCCGTTTGCTCCCCACAGTATGCTCAGTACTCTCAGACCGCAACTATCTCTTCCGCTGGCGCCGAGCAGACGCCTTCAAAGTCTTCAAAGAAGAAGTCCAAGAAGCCCAAGGCCTCCAAGAGCGCTGTCGTGGAGAACGAAGAGGCTGAGGCCCAGAAGCCACTCGAGAACGTCAACGAGGAGGCTGTTTCGGGCGCCGCCGAGATCCCCGCGGATCGCATCGTGGCCCGCGAGGAGCGCATCGAGTACCGCGACCAGGACGGCAACCTGCTCGACGACGAGCAGGTCAAGGCTCTCGAAGGCAAGGTTGAGTTCAAGACCAAGTATGAGACGCGCACTCGCGTCGTCGACGAAAACGGCAACGAGGTGCAAGTCCCCGGCGAGGAGGCCGGCGTCGTTGCCCCCCCCCACCCTGACGTTGAGGGCGTCGACCCCGAGACGAAGCAGAAGGTCGCGGACGCCGACTCCAAGGTGCCCGAGGCTGCCGAGAGCATCAAGGGCGAGCGTGAGGCCGAGCAGAAGAAGCCCAAGCCCGCCAGTGAGGGTGGCAAGGAGGCCACCGTCAAGGAGGAGCTGTGAACCGACTTGTTTTGACTCGGGCTCTCCATGCCCTTTTGGCATTTCTGTACCTCCGCCAACGACGGACACGGAAACTTGTTTCCCGCCCTACTGGCTTTGAGCGAAAACTAAACTAAACAAAACGGAGGGAAAGGGAAGGGACTCGTTCGAGCGACGAAAGGGCTGAGGAGATAGAAAATGAATGATGGGCGGCATTCCCGTGCCAGCTTTTGGGGGGCGGGCTTTTCTCAGGAAGAGGAAACCCTCCCAATCCTCCTTTCTCACTTACGATACACTTGTGTACCAATACAAATCATAATGACCACTGCGCTTTGCACATTATTCGAGGATTTTTTTTCTGTGAAAAGCCATGGCTGGTCAGGACGGAATCTTAGATACATCTTCACGCGTGATGTACCGGGCAAGCCGTAGTCGATTGTTGAGCTTCTTCAGTAGCCGGACTCACAAGTCGGCAGAGAGGGAGAGGGAGAGAGAGACTACAAGCGTCGGATGCACTGTCAGAATTATGATAGTGACAAGTCATAGAGCATTGCCATCTCCATCTCGCATTAAGAAGTCGTTGTCACGACACGACTCGTTTCTAATAAACCCCATGTCAGGGCACCTCAACTCCCAAGTCATGTCTCCCCCCGGGCGCTCGCCCGCTGTACTTCCCACCTGCCATCATGTCTAATAGCCGAGCCAAAGGAAAACCAAAAGAAGGATCCGAGCCAGTGTCCGTCCGCGCCAGGGGTCGGCATACCCCGAGAGCGAGGAGAACGTTATGAGTAAGCTCATAACTTCTCCTCGTCGTGTCATCCTCGAGCCCCATCCTGAACGCCAATTGAAAACAAAAAAGAAATCCAAAAAAGCCCAATCGCGTTGATGCATGCCATGTTGTGCTCTCTGCTTTTTAGTCAGTCCTCCTCTCCATCCTATCCTCATGACAGTCGCGTCTGCCGCAGCTGCCTGACGAGCGATCGAGTTTCCCAGTCAATAAATAAAGAATTGATATTAGTACACCGAACAATGATGTCGATAAATATGCGTTAGGGTGTGTAGTAGTCGTGGTAGGGACATCGTAGGCTTTTCCTGCGCAAGTATGATTTCATGTCGAAAAGCTCACTGACGTCTTCATTTCGTTTGCTCCACCTCAGCAGTCGGTATTGTGATGGACAGCCTCTTGACCTCGCCGTTCGGATTCGTGACGTCCTTGATCTCGAGAGTCTGCGTTGAGTTGCGGTTACTTGGTGAGGGTGTGACGGGCTGGAGCACAGTCTCCTCGGCAGCGTCTAATGGGACACCACCTTCGATGGCGGCCGAGTCCCCAGGGGATTCGGGCTCAGCACCCATATCGCCAGATTCAATGGCATTCGGCGCTGTCGCAGCTTCCGCCTTGCAGGATGTCTCGTGGCTTTGACGCGGGCTCTTCTCCGCCTCACCTTGGACAGGGTGACCGGTCGGAACAACGCCACCGCCGACGCGCGCCCAGAACATCTGCTCTCGCAACCTGACGCTTTCCTCCCAAGCAGCCTTTTCGGCGTCGTCGTGGTCTGTCCGCCAGTGCCCGTCTCTCAGGATGCGTAGAAAACTGAGAAAGTCACAGGTAGATCGCACCCTGTTGAGGCAGTATTTGCAGAGAGGATAACGCTGGGCAGAATCGGACTCGTTGGTTCGGAATCGATATGTGCGGAGATGGCTCTCGTCCTTGCGAGCGTCACCGCAAAGCGAGCAAGGGTAGAACTGAGGCTTTATGTAGGATGCGTAAGGTGAAGTGGAGGGAATGGGCTCCACGACGATGGAGCCATCTGTCATGGCGCTCAGAACACTCCTTCGCGCAAGCCAGGATAGACTTGGGGCCAGATCAAGACGTAGCGTTGCCTCGACATCTTCGGTCAAAACACGCTTGAAATATTTCGTCTCCCTCAGTGCCAGGACCGGAGTGCCAGCATCCGCCGAGCCTACGCTGACCGTGGACGCAGGTGTGTTGGGGGTCTGAGGAGCTGTCGTGGTGACAGGCGTGCCGGCCGTGGAGAGCGACGTCGTCGAGGCATTGGAAGGATGCGCGCTAGATATACTTCCACCGAGTCCAGAGCCAAGCTTGTTCGCTCCAGGCATAGACCCAGACGAATGCCTGTTTCCGGTGGCGTGTTTATTGGAAAGGCGGGCGAGGGCAGTGAAGTCCTCATAAGAAGCAAGATCGGTCCTCAAGACGGGTTGGATCAGGTGGCTGAAGCTTGTCGGGTAGGTGGGCGACACGGGTTCGAGGGCCGTGTGGTGGGCAGCGCTATCGGGCGAGAGGCGGTCATCGTCCCTGTACTCGGGTCCTTTGGCGAATCCCGGAGACGAGGGCGCGGTGGCAACACTGAGCTCTTCCCGTTCGATGGTCATCTGTTCCATGACGTGTTTGAGTTCTGTGAGCTGCTCTTGTTGAAATTTGAGGAGAGCCTCTGTGTCAGCCAACTGGGCCTTGAGCTGGTCGTTCTTCTTCTGGATCATATCGTGGTCCCGTTGGGCGTCCTCTTTCGCAGAGATGACCATCTTGTTAGCTTCTTCAAAGAGAGCTGTCGTCAGGTTCTCCAGCTCCTGCTCGATCTTCTTCTTTTCCCTCTCAACCTCTTCTCGCTGGCTCTGCTCCACAGCCAAGACAGCAAGGAGCTTTTTCTTTTCCTCCTCGACGGTTCGCTTGCGAACCCACACATCTCCGGAGAGCATCTCCCGCTGGGTGGCATTCCTTGCTTCGAGAGTTCTGATCTGTTGGCGGGCCTTGTCGAGTTCCGACCTCGTGGCTGAGAGGGTGTCGTCGAGGGTAGTCTGGTAGTTGATGGCGTTGATGAGTTTGGTGCTCAAAGTGGCGACCTCGGCGTTGAGGTCGGGGTGATGAGGTGTGGCATAGCCGCTGGCGTCGGCGGCGGGGCTCATGGCGCGGCTTCGAGGGTCGGGTAGGGTGCTGAGCTCGGCGTCTTCGTCGTCGGGCGAGAGCGGTAGCGGACGTAGGCGAGGCGAGGTGTTTGCGGAGGCGGACATGGCGGGGAGCTCCGAGGTCGAAGGAAACTTGCCAGGCATTCGTGGCGGTTGAGGACTGGGACTCTTGGCGATGGAGGAGAGCGAACGGAAGTGGCCGAGACTACGGGGGCTGCTGGAGGAGGGGGGCGGCGTTGAATGGCCTGCCCATCCGGCGACGGCGATGAAGCTGTGCCAAGCGCCATTAGCAAAGGTCATGACCGAGGTGAGCACCACATGGAGTAGCGGCACAGCCTGTGGTACGTGAAGGCGGGTGATGATGTGGAATGGAGGAGGAGAAGTGGTTTGCAGCAGCAGAAGAAGAACACAACGTACGAGTCCATGCTCAGAAGCGAACGTCACTGATACGAGCAGCTGCTACGCGGAGTGATGTAGGGCAAGCGCCCCCGACAGGCGTATGAGGGAAGAGGCCTGCGTTCCGAAGCGATGCGAGACACCAGCGGAGCCAGGCGATGCAGTGCTCAGCCGTGTGTCTTGTCGTGGGTTGACTTTTGGGTTGGTTGGTGATTCGTACGTCGACGAGATCGTGTGAGACAGTGCGATGTGCTGGCACGCAGCAAGGAGCACGCAGCGCGTGGGATTAGGAAGCGGGTTCGTGGCCGTCAGACGAAGGAATTCCAAAGGAGAGCCGTGGTGGTGTGGTGGTGCGTGTCGGAGGTGACGTGAGAGTTTCTGCGTGCTATAGGTGGGTGGGGGGAGCAGAGCTCGGGGTATGGCGGATTTAATGACAGGTCCACATGATCTTGTTGTTGGTCTCTCGTCTCTTGGTGCTGGGGAAACCGATGATCTGGGGGGGGGGTCTTCAGGTAGGTGGCGGATGGAGAGGTTTCGACTCTCGCGCTGCCTGGATGGATGGACGGATGGATGTATGGCGGGTGAGTGAGAAGAGAGAGGACGAAGGCCGAGATGCGGAGATGCAAATGAACAGGCAAGAGCAACTCGGGGCGGCTGCCGGACTTGACTCGAACTCGACCTACACCTGCTTGGACCTGAAGAATCGGATGGGAAAGACATGGAGGAGCGAGCTGGAAAGCGGGAAACCCACAGGGCGCTTAGCCTGCCAGGCACACCCCAGCCCGTTGCTTCCCACTTCTCTCAGCACGTCTCTCAGCACAAACCACCCCAACTCCCCGAGTGAGGAAGGCACAGAATCGAGGACTGCGGTGTTTAGCCGAGATGGGCCTGGACAGGCGGGACGCCCACGGCGCCAAAGGGGCGTTTCTCCAGGGGGGCCTGTTCGGCTGTGCAGCCTCTAGGCCAGCGCCGGCGACCGTGCCAGCGCCAGCGCCTGACAGGGGCCTTTGGCCCAGTGCCCTGTGTCCAGTGCCCTGTGTCCAGTGCCCTGTGCCCCGTGCTCCTTGTCATGCTCGGTACTGCCAGGCCTGTGCCAATTCGCACTCCAGCGGATCAAGGGCCGAGACGACTCTCTGAGCCAAGCTACCAAGGTACGAGACAGACAGGCAGCCGGGCAGACAGAGAGAGACACCGTCACGCCGTCACCCACACCCAGCCCACGCCCCTCCGCGACATCATGACACCATGACACCATGACCTTCTCGATTCAGTAGCTGCCAGGTTTCTGCCAAGTCTGCTCCAACCCAACCGACTGGTCACGCCTCGCCGTCATTTGATCTGCGGTGCCCATCTCCTCAACACCAGGCCACCAAGGCCATCTTCCCAACAGAGAGACCTGACTTCGGAAAAGACCCTTGGTGGGGATCATACGGACTTGTCGTCATGGTTCTCGAACAGACGCAGGCTTCCCTTGTCTTCCCTCTGGTCTTGAGAAGCGTCTGTGAGTCTCGGACGGGACAACAACGCCTCGCACCTTCGCACCCACGCGCCAGAGCTAGGCACAGCCCGCTCAAGGTTGCATGCCGTTCGTTTTTTTTTTCTGGTGTGTTCACGACTCGGCTCTTTTTCTTTGTCCTTGTTGCTTCTAGCGCCCCTCGCTCTCGCGCTGTCTTCCGGCACACACTGGCAGGGAGGTCCAGGCCATTCAAGGCCCTGGGCACGCCGACACCCACGCCCGCCCCCCTCCCAATCCAAACGGCCCTCGGCCTCAGCCACGCCCAAACGGAATGCGAACATGTGCTCAATCTCCGCCGCGCAATCTCGCGAAATCCGACAGACGCGGGTTCCCTCTCGCATTCTCTCCCTCTGTGTGCGTGGTGCCCATACGCAGAGACGCGACCGAACTGACTTTCTCGTGCATCCGCCAAACAATCAATCAATGAAGCCGACAGCCTGACAAGGAGGAAGCGAGCCTGTCAACGTGCCGACCCTTCCTTGCCTGCTTACCTACCCATAATAGCTGGCTCCCATAATCGAACGCATCCGGCTGACTCGGTTGTCCCATCGTATCGTGGTTGCATCTGATGGAGCATCGACAGGTGTCTGCGTTTCACCCAAGACAGGGCCATAGTCTTTTTGCCATGTTCTCGTCTCTGGGTATGCTTTTTCGTTTCCAAATCTCGTATCCCTTTGCCGGCGCCGAGAAGGAATTCGGATGGGCACTGGGTGCGGCGGCCCCAACACGATGTCCGCCGGGAGACGACTAGCCAGCTATACGATGCGAACGCTCGTTCCTCATCCCTCACTGCAAATGGACGGCGGGATCGTCGGCAGCCCGGGTGACAGGCATCAGGGGGCCGGCGCAGGAGGGGGCGCAAACTGTTGATTTCCCCCGTCGTCTGCACGGCGCGCGTCAAAAAGCTCACCCTCGGCGAGTGACCTTGCGCAAACATTTGCAGTCCTATGCTCGGCCTCTTGCAGCCGTCGGGGACGACACAGTCCAATTAACCCCTCCGGCGGCGGCATCTTGCATAGCTGTAGGCCGCCCAGCTTCATGATCGTACTGTGCCGTGCCTACCTACTTGGTGCGACACAAACATGACAGGACGGGACTTGCCATGCAGCTTCCCGACGTGGCTCGGACTTCCGTCATCGTGTCATTGTCCCCTCTCTCCCTTCCCCTCATCGGCCGCACCACGCACTCGGTCCCGGTCCTCCTTCCCTTCTCCACGACGGTGACCAGCCGTTCATTGGATGGACTGTGACCGAAGCTTGTGAGGGGGGGCAACGACTTGCCATTGACTACTGCCCGTTGGTTTCTTCCAGGTACGACAGTGCCATCCATCTCACGCAACCCCGCCCGACTGTCCCGGACGCACCTTCTGCGGGGCCGATTGGGGGGGGGGCCCTGATTCGATTAGCGAGCGCACGCCTCAGACCAGCTGCTTGTTCTGGCCCATCAGCGGCATCAGAAGGCATCACTACAGAGCCAGTCTTGCACCGGTATTGTATTCACTTCCCTCTCAGCTTGGGGTACCGGCACAAGATCACTGAAGAGACCGCCCAGACCACCGAGAGGCCGAGGCAAGTAAGTGGAAGCAAGGCCATTCAGGATAGTGGACAATGTATGCATTTCTGCGCGTTCCCTCTGCATCTGTCGAACCAGACAAGATCAGAGAGAGAGAGAGAGAGAGAGAGAGAGAGAGCCTTGTAACAAACCTCTTTCTGTAAACAGGAGAAAATAATCAAAAACTTGCCGATCAAAAGGGTCAAATCCAAACCATATCTCCAATCCCTTGATCGCATACCCATGCTTGGCCCGTGACCAGCCAGGGAGCATTATGTACAAAGTAGATGCGAGAGCAATATCGTGCAACGAGTAAGTGGTATCCTGAGAGAGAAGCAAGGCGAGATGTGGTAGAGAAAAAAAAACACGAAAAAATGGCAAGATATCCCCCCCCCCCCCCCCCGGAGGCCATGAGCACCCATCACTTGTGAGCTGGCTCGTCCAGGTCATCGTAGCCCCCCGCCATGTACGGATTCCACTCCATGCCGGGGTAGCTTGTCGCGCTCATGAGCGGCGCGTCGGGGTCTTTGCGCGCCGCGTCCCCGTCCGTGACCAGCGCGTAATCCTCGTCCGGGTCGTACAATATCTTCTCCTCCTGCGCCTCGAGCCGGATCGACCGCTTGCGCTCGTCCTCCGTGTCCTCGAGCTCCGCCCGCGTGCTCTTGTCCCGGGCGAGTGTCGTTTTGGCCTGGTCGGCGCTGGCGCCCGCGGCCTCGGCTTCACGTCTTGCCTGGAGTGCCTGCCGCTCCTCGTTTGACCCGGCGCTGACTTGACTGTCACCTGTTATTGTCGGCTTCAGGGGCTCTATGGGTCTTCGCGGCGTCGAGTCGTAAATGTCGTCGTGGTCCCCATGGTTGGCGCTTTGCACGTTTATGTTGAGGTTCCTGCCTGCTGGGGTCGACGGATTTGAGTTGGACACGTTGTTAGTCGCTCGGGGCGCTTCGGCGGCAACGTGCTGGGATGCCTGGACATTACGCGGCGATCGCCTCTCGTTCCTGGCCATGGAGGACATGCCCGTATCGATCGCAATGCTGTTGGCAGCAATTCCTTGTCCTGCAAAGTTTGTGGAATGCGAAGGCTTGGCGGCCTCATCGTGCCGTAAATAGGGCTGTCGCTGCTGCTGCACAAGCTGGTGGCTCTCTCGGCGTTGGTTGTCCCTACCATCATACTGCACATTCTGCCCTCCGTACCCAGCCTGCTGTCGATCGAGGCCGAGGCCAACAGGTGGTCCAGAGTGCGTTGCAGGATGTCCGGCGCGAGGCAGGTTTTGACTGGAACTACCCGAGGCTATGCTGTCGCGGAGGCTAGCCTGCTGGCCCAGGGGAGGTGAGACACCATATTGCAGGGCTGGCTGGACCTGTTGCGTGTGACTGTAGGGACGATAGAGCTGTTCTGCCGAGAATTGTCTGCGGTCTACGGTATTGTTACTCGGCTGCTGTTCGAATGAAGGTTGTTGGAACCCCCCGGACACTCTGCGTCCGTACAAGTAGGGTGAAGGTTCGATGCTGCCCTCCCCGTGAACGGCCTCGTAACCCCGAGGAATAGGAACTTGATCATACTGAGGTTCTATCAAGCTCCGCTGCTGCTGCTGCTGCTGCTGCTGCTGCTGCTGTTGATTGTGCGCCAATTGGTGGATAGGAGCTGGATACTGGTCTGCAGATGCATTCTGCCTGAACCGTGGGCCCCCTAAGCCCTGGCCCATTCGGCCATGTTCCTCATGTGTAGTCGTTGTGTCGTATCCGCCGGACTGGGCTGGCTGCGGTGGGCTGCGAGCACCTCGCTGATCCAACTCTGGCGATCGCCCATGTGGTTGATGAGGGCTGTTGAACGAGTTATGACGTGGATCGATATGCCCAGGCACTGGCACAGTGGCCGGCGATATTCGCTGCTGCTGATAAAGATGATGCGGGCCCATCTGTGCATGCCCATTTGTAGGTTGAGGGTGGCTCAGCGGAGGTGCCTGGCCTTGTGCGAGATGATTTGCTGGACCATGTAGGAGCTGCTGAGGCTGGCCATGGGCTTGGGCTTCCTGGTGCTGTCGCTGCGAGAATGACTGTTGCGAAGTCTGTTGCGGACCCGGTTCGGAAATCAGCGGCCGACCCTGCATCGTCTGCTGATGTAGCTGATGAGAATTCGTTCGATAAGCAGCGAGATCGGGCTGAGCCTGGTTGGCAGGAGGGAGCTTCGAGGAGCGCTTGAAAGCGTTAAATATGGACTTTGCCGACTTCTCCTTCTCAGGCTTCGGCTGTGACGTCTGCACGGGTTGCTGTGACGACTTCCCCATGAGCCATCTTGAGCGACGGCTCTCTGGGGGTTCCTGAGAGTTCGAAAACGCAAGGCCCGGTCCAAAGCTTTGCCCGGGTGCCTGCGAAGGGCCGTATCCATGATGGAATCCATTATGGGCCGTCGTCTGTGTCGTGAGCAATGGTGCCGACGCGCGAGCGTGAATAGACGTTCCGGGCGGCTGATGCAGCCCCTGAGGAACGGGCGAAATGGAAACAGGTCGCTGCACTCGAGGATCAACCTGGGAGGACAAATTGGGACTTGAATGAGTCGAGGGCTCTTGAAATGATCCCATAGAGAGGTGTGATACTCGTCGATCCTGGAGCGATGTTTCGGATGGGGGTGGTTGATAGCCGTTACTCAGCCGAGGTGAAGAAGAGAACTGTTCTCTTGGCGGCAGCAAATCGGCCCCAGAAGACTGCTTCTGGATGGATCGCGCAGGCAGCTGGCCCAGAGTCTCAAGATTAGTGCCAGATTGGCCCCGAGGGGTCTGCTGTGTCTCGATGCGCTGAACGTGTTGAACATGGTCAGGGCTGAAAGGCATTCGTTCGGTTCCCGCGCCAAAATCGAGATGGGTCTGGTGGTTGACCGACGAAAAGTCAGGCGAAGCGTTTGGGCTGACCTCGTTGCTCATTCCAGTCGCGGTTGGTAGTCCAAGTGGTTGGGAGCCTACATCAGGAACTGGCCGAGTGTGGACTTGCGGCTGGGGCAAATCTTCACTTGGCTTTGCCTGCAAGGTGGCTGCCGTGGCAACGTTTGAATGTTCAGTCTGTTCAGTGTCTGACCCTGCCTCATCTGTGTCACTATTCACCTGCTGAACAGACACTCGAGTGTTGTCGGGGGCCTTTTGAGGGCCAGGAAAACTGCTCTGCCCACGTTGCTCGGGACTAGCAACACCCGCAACGGGGTGGACAGGAGGTCCCTGGGTGCGGAAAGGCGGAGGAGACTGGCTGTTGACGTGTTGTGCGTCGCCCGTCCCTGGTTGAAAGACGGGTTGCGGAGAAGGTTGATAGCCACCCTGGCCCGCCTGAGCTTGTGGCTGTCGTTGAAAATGAAATTGCTGCGGTTGATCTTGCGGCAGCCTCTCAGGCTGGGGGTGAGCCTCACGAGGCTTGGATGAAGTTCTGTTGCCCAAGAGGCCAGCCAAAAAGTTGCCCGCGGACGCTCTACGGCCACGGTCTGCATGCTTCACGTCATGTGCGTCACCTTGGTCCTGATATTGGGGTTCATGGTCAGTAGGAGGCCTTGAAGTAGTTGTGTCGCTTCTCTCCCTCCGGTGGTCGGCAAGTGGGCTGGGAACTCCGGGTTGAGTATTGGGAAGACCCGAGAGACGGCTCTGAAGAGAAGGAGTTGTGGACTGCGCAGTCATTGGCTTGGGCGGCTCCTCAACTTGACCCGAAGATCGGTGAAAGAATTTGCCCGTCAACGTAGACAGTCGCTTTTTGGGCGATTGATGGCTGTGCAAACTACCCTCAGTCTCGTGCACATTGCTTGACGTCGAGGTCCGTGACAGACTCGGAAGTCCCAGTCCACTACCAGGCGTGCTTCCAAAGAATGACCTCTTGCGTTGATCAGCAAATTGTTGTTGGAGCTGAGTATGCGTCTGGGGTTGTTCAGCAACATCCGACGAGTTCGCCGTGTCATCTCCGCTGGCGCCTGGCGGACCGTCGCTGCCAGCAGGCTTGGAGCCCCTGAGGCTTAGGAAGAAGCTAGACCGGCGCTTTTTCTTCCGCTCACGAAGCTCCTGCGTATCAAAGCTTGACTCCGAAACCTCATCTCCTTGCACATCAACACCAGGTTGCTGTGCGAAACCACTGCCTTCGATGACGGAGCCTTTACGCTCGCGAGAGGCAGTCCTGAACCGGCCACCAATCTCCTTGAAGATGCCCGAACCCCTTCTTTCTCGGCCACGGTGGTCTTCAGGTGGCGGACCAACACCCGGGACCTGGAATTCGGATGTATTACTTCGTTGCAACATGACATCTTCCCGACTCGGTGGCTGCTGCTGGTATACCTGGGGCGGTAGATCCTGCGATGTCCGCGACATGGTTTGATCCAAGTGCTTTTGCGACTGCTGCTGCTGTTGCTGCTGTGGTTGTTGTTGTTGTTGTTGTTGTTGCAGCTGTTGCTGTGGGGGCTGCTGCTGCTGCCCGGCTGCCCGAGAGAAGAGCTCCGGATAACGACGGGCAGATGAAGGCGGCGTCTCTGAAAACTTTTGACGAGGAGGCATTTGTACAGCTGAGCGTTGCTGAGCCGGAACCGGATTCGTGACACCAATCTCCTTGTCAAAGCCGAAATACGACTGGCTGGTATCAGGAGCATGGCGGCTTCGGCTAGCTGGAAGCAGAGGTTCAGACAAGTGTGACTCCTCAAGTTTCCAAGGCCCTTGCGGTGGAAGATGCTGGACAGGATTACCGCCAGATATGTTTTGACCGAGAACACCAGGCGGGGACCGTATGTTCTGGTGTTGCATTGGCGCTGTCCTCCGATTTTGATACGGCGCAGGTTCTGCCACGGGCGGTTTCTCCGGATCATCACCGACATCAACCTCAGATGAAGCATAGGAAGCGGTGCGGCCAAGACTGGAGGCGCCCAGTGTGTCTCCTGCAAGCCCCTGCTGAGAATCACGGGTCTGGGCCCCAGTTCCAGTTGGAAGGTCGCCACTCTGTTGGGCGACAGCACTGTTATACTGCTGCTGCTGCGACGACAGTGTGCTGGGGCCAGCGTTGGCATCGAGGGTGGATGTCCTCGAGAAATTATCCATCTCGTCTTCATCAAGCGAGAAGCGTTCCTTTGCTCTGCGTGCATAATTGATGCCAAAGGTGGAGCTTCGTCTGATAGGAGGCAGCCCAACGAAAGAGGAGTTGCGTTGTGGCGAGGTCTCGGGCGGAGCTTGTTGAGTGTGGGTGGCATTGCTCCGAGGAACCTCTGATGATGTCGCTCTTGGTGTCGTCGTTGGGCCAGAGGCAGGCTGCTTGCTCACCCCGGACGGCACCATGCGATATGGCTCGCCAGGAGCCTGCGGCTCTACCACGACCCAGTCGTCATCACGATTGTCAGCAGGAGCAACAGAACGGCCGTTCGGGATATCTGAAGGCTGTGCATGGCCGAGGTCGAAGTCATTCTCTTCAAACAAAGGCGTCGCATTGGTCGGATCCCACGAGGGCTGCGTTTTACTGATAGGCTGTGGGATCTGTACGCTGTCGGCTGCATAATATTCATCGTTGGTGTTATCGCCATGTTGCGCCTTACGCATGGAGTGTGTATCCGACACCGGCGACACCAATTCTGGTTGGCAGTCTCCTTGCGCATTGACTTCGTTCGGGGGAGTGCGCGGCCGTGGTTGCGAAGCAGCCCACGGAACTCCAGTTGAGTTTGGGAATGTGTCCAAGGGAGACAAGCGCAAAGGTTGAGGAATCTTAGGGGCCGAGCTCGAGACAGTCGAAAGGCGCCTAGGCTGGGGTGAGTTGGATTGTGGGTCGGCGTCGCCCTTCAGACCCGAGGATCGTGGTCCAAGACTAAGACCCCATGAGGCGCGGCGATCATTTCTGGCTTTGGATTGAGGCGGAGGCGGCGATGAGGAGGAGGAGGACTCTTCGTTCTGCAAAAACAACCAGGCATTAGAAACAAGGCACCTCAAGAAAAGTCATTGTGGAGATTAAAAGCCGTCAAGGGAAATACATGATCGTGTAAAAGAAGTCGTGTCATTCTTTATCCATACACCGTGCCATCATCCGAGCCAGCCGCACAGAACGTAACATAGACCGGCCAGTGGCTCATGGCTCAGGGTCCAGGGCTCGTGGCCCATGCTGTCCGAGTCAAGTCATGGTCACGGCCCTGGCCTGTATGGGGGTGCTAAAATAAGAATCATCCGACCATCAAAGTAGGAAATAAAGATGACGAGAGAAGAGGCATGTCCTGTGCAGTAACCCTGGTAAAGAGGAATGATTAAGGAAATACCTTGTCGCCGCCGCGAAGCTTGTTCTTGCCCTTGCTCAGCAGTCCCTTGCCCGCCTTGGCCGCCCCGAGCAGAAGCTCCTTGCCCTTCGCCCCAACTTGACCACTTGAGTGCTTGAAATCGCTGGAAGGAGAATGTGAAGCCGCTGTCCCCATGTTGCTCGTGGATGGCCGGCCAGGAGCACCTGGAGTCGCGTTCGGCGAGCTGGCATTCAAATACTGCTGATAGTAAGGCTGCTGCGACGCCGATGGTGCGTTGGTCGGCGATCGCTGTACCGATGCACTGCCTGGAGGTGCCGCAGTGACGAACGTGTGGTACGAGGGGGAGGCAGCACCGTGCTCCGCATGCTGTGACTGCAGACTAACAATCCAATTGTTGAGACCCGAGTCCATCGAAGCAAACTGCGCTCGCGTCTCATTGTACTTGGCGATTCTGTCGGCGGGGCTTGGTAAGTCAAGAATCTCCCTAAATGATAGTATCTTTTGCGCCGGCTGTGTCGACTGCGCTGGAATATGGTGCTGCGTCGGTGAACCTTCTGTCTCGGGGCCCGCTGCTACGGTGGGCTCTGCTAACGCGGGATGACCTCCAGGGGAAGGGAGCGGAGAGGTCTGGTCCGACGTGGAGACCTGCAGGCGCTTCTCGTCTGCCAGCGATAAGCGTCTCGTCTTGGGTTCTGCTTCTTCCTTGAAAGGCGGCGGTTTGTCGGACGCTGCTGAAATTGGAGACGGTGGCTCAGGGCCGGCCGAATCCTGCTTTTCCCTGGGAAGAGTGCTGACTTGAGAGACTTGATGCGATACTAGAGCCGTATTGTCCAAGATACCAATCTGTGACTTGTCTGCCAGCCTCGAAGGAAGCTCGTCCGCCGCACTGGATGGTGGCTTGTCGTCATCATTTGTTGGCTCCTCGGGATCCCCAATGGAGGCCGCGAGAGGCTGAGAATGTTGAGAAGACGGGCCGCTGCTGACATTGACGGCGAACTGCGGGGCCGAGGCAACAGCGCTGCTTTGCTCCGCAGACTGCGGTTGATCCTCGTTGCCAGCCTCCCAGGAGAATCGACGTGGGAGCAGATTGACTTCAGGAACCACAGCGGGTACATCAACGGGCTCTCGTCGAGGACTACGGGGGCTCAAAGGTGGAATATCAGACACATCGCGCGGTGACGAGAGCATGGTCCCATCTGTGGCTGGAATCGCAGGAGCAGGATCAGTATCATCCTGTTTGCTGTGAGATGGTCTGTCCTCGGGCCCAGACCAGTAATCGTCGTAAACGCCATGAAGATAAGTACTTTCCCGACCGGCCTGGCTGGGCAACACTGAGAGGCCTCCTTTGCTGTCTCCTGTCGCATCATTATCATGCGTCGGACGGACTGGGCTTAAAGTTCGAATGATCTCCTCCCTCAATTTATCGCTCTCCTTGATCGGCGAGGGAGAGTTGATCGTGCTCAGGGTGGACTGTCGCTCAGGGGCAGCAAACTTCTCAGGTGGGTCATCGACAGATCGAGTTTGCAGAGCGGCCAGCGTGGATGACTGTCCCTCAGGTGCGGGGGAGACCGAAAGAGATGCAACGGGGCTAGCAGCGCGCTGTACGTGATCATCGGAGGCTGTCACTGACCCAGGACCTGAAGTGGATTGAAGCCCCTTCAAAGGACCGGGCTCGAAGGCCGCAAGAGAGCCGCTCCCATCGTCGGAAACTGCTGGCATGTTTGACTGTTCAGTCCGGGCACTTTCGATGGGATTCGCTGCGGGCTCAGTTTCCGCCGCTGGGGTTGCAGTCTCGGTGACCCAGCCACCAGGAAATGATGGGCGTTTTTGTTCAGCGCGCTCGGGGCGGGAAGGCTCGCGACTTTCAATGTCACCAGTTGGGGATTCTGTCACATTCGAAGTCGGCGCCGCCTCGGCTGTCCTTTCATCTGGCTTGGGCGAAATATCATGAGTTGGCTGAGTTGGCGGTTCGGTCTGATCAGTGCTCAGGATCGTGGTCGTATCAGTCCTCGGTGGTGTGGTCGACCGATTCATTGCAGGCAAGGTTTGTGACGGTAAAGAGAGTTGAGGGGAAGGCTCGCTTTCCTCTGGAAGCGTGGGGACCGGGGGCGCATTCGAGGTTAGAGGTGGTTTCGCGAAGAAATCGTCGCCGAACATGGACATGCGCGCCAAATCTGGAAGCTGAGGGCTCGTGGAAAATCGTCGAGGCTCTTCCTGGGCCCTTACGACGTTACTGCTTGCTTGCTCGACGGTTGAAGTCGGTGAAGAGGCCTCGTATCGGCGGGAGGGAAGAATAGCTTGCGGCTCAGCGATGACTGCAGTACTGAAACGCTCGGTAGGCTGAGGCTGCTCAACGGGAGCAGGTGCTGATCCCAGCACTGATGCCTGTTGCGTCTGTCCTTGGTCAAGCTTTGAGGGGGAAGGTGTCCGGTCAAATCCGTCGTCGCTCCTGCCCCCCTGAACAGTATCCTGAGGCGTTCCAGCGCGGGAGGTGCCGCCTAGACTGGTGTGGGCCGGAGTTATGCCTTCATTATGAGCAATCGAGCGCCCAGGAGGAGATGCGACAGACTCCTCAGCGTTCTTGCCAGCAGTATGGGATGACTGCGAACTACCTGCAGTGGTATCCTCTTCTGAACGGCGGAAGACACTCGAGGGTAGGGTCGTCTGCTGCTGGGCTGCCAGGGGCTCGCCCTGACTGACACTGCTCTTGCGCGGAGGAAACCTCGAGGGCTCTGACACGGTGACGGGCGCAGTGACAGCCCCAGAGCTGGCGGACTGAGGCGAAACGACCTGCCCTGTGCCCTGACTATAGACTGACGAAGAAGGCTCGGGGCCCACTGGGGACTTGATTTCGGGTGCTGCTGTCATTTCGCGAGGCTGCTGCTGTTCCGCTTGCGACTGCGACAACTGCGATGGCACCTGAACCGGCTGCGTTTGAATGTGCAGGCTAGGCTGAGGACCAGATGCATATCGATGGCCTACTTGAGGCATCGGCGGAGGCTGATTCCATGTCTGGCTGGACAAGCTGGTCTGACGTGAACCGGTGGGTCGCAAGGGCGGCACAGGCACAGGCTCGGTTTGCTCGTCGAAATCGTCGGCTCCCCAGTCGTCACCGTCATAATTCTGCGTCTTTGCCTCTACCCATTTCCTTGTCTTGGTTCGGTTGACGTTGGCGCGATACGGGGCGCTCGTTGGCGTTTCCGGGCTCCTGAGAAGAGGGTGTTAAAAGGGCTCCGATTGTGACTAAAGGATTGGTGCGACCAGGGGATCGGATGGCGACGGTGCAGCGTGAAGCAGAGCTGAAGAGAACTCACATGGGGCTATTGGCCCTGTGATAGGGGTTTTGGTATGAGCCGTCCATCCCGTCGGCGTTTGGTGAACTAGAGATGCTATCTCCTCATGCTTTTCGACGAGCGCGGAGAGCAATTGGATCGTGTCGTAAGACGACCGCGACAACGAGAGGGGGCCCTCCTCTCGAGTTCTGAGAAATTGGGTTTTTCCTCGGTGCCGGCGATGTAGCGATAATAATAATAATAGTACGTTCGCGGTGCAAGTTGCGCGACGAGCCAGACGGCAGGCTTCCCAACGAATGGCAGAGGTATGGGTTGGAGAAGAAGAAATGGGCTTCGACACGAGGATCTCTGGGTTGGGTTACGTACGACCGGCGTCACGTTGGCCGTGGTTCGTCACCCTGCCACCCTAGTACGGACGGCACAGCTGGGATTCGCAAGACTCGGCAGCACAAGGGGAGCTGCTAGGCACACTACAATGGGGCTTCACAGATGAGCTGGGGTGTTGGTGCTATTATTATTATGATTACGGCGGGCGGGGCGCGAGACGGTAGGTCCTGTTGGGGATCCTCAAGTCACACTGGTACGCGAATGTGCAGCAGAGGAACCTCCGAGTACCGAAGGTGGCCATCGAGGTAGGTTCAGCATCCACGTCCCATTGCCTGCCAACAGGCAGAGGAGGATCAGATCGGCATGGGGACGCCTGCAATCAAACCCAGAGCAACAAAGGTAGGGGGCGAAGCTTTGGCGAGTTGTCAGCTCCCTCCTAGACAGTTAGCGTGGCGCAGTCTAGGTCCATCCTTCACAAGGCATGTGAGTGCCAGCAATACATGTCAGCAAAGATTGCGTTTGTCGAAGGGCGAAAGTAAGGGAATGCATGCAGCATTACCTTGGTAGCTGGCAAGCTCTCCGTACCTTTATGATGAGATGACGGAAAACTTGTCTGCTCAAGCCACAGTGTCTGGGCCATGGAGGTGCCGAATGTGGCTCATCATCGGTCGCGCGAGCTGGCTTAGTTGATTATGTAACCAGGGCCACTCATGTCGCCCCGCCCGAGGAAACAAGGGGTGGAAAGCCCGGGGCCAGCCAGAACGAGCCAGCAGAAACACCACGTTTGCAGAGGAGCCAAAAGGCCAACCAGAAGCCAGTTCCTGTCGCCAGCTGCACCTTGGGCCCCCTGACCTTACCACTACTGTGCTTCTTCTACCCTTTGGAACTGACGCGGCCGACACCCAACTTGAGAACCCGAACTTCACCAGGCATATTCGATTCACCTCACGATCTTTGCTTTGCGCCTTTTGACACCTATCGCCGATTTTAAACTTTGCCGCCGCTCCATCCCGCGTTGCCAGGCCACGTCTCCGTACTTTCCGATATACCCCTAACACTCTACGCATCAAGTCGATTACTCGGGCCTCTCAAACTCACGCCTACATTCTTAATACACCGTTCACGATCGGTAGCGATAGGCGCCAAGGGGACAAGCCTCAACAAAAAACACCATCGTATCAAGGATTTCGCACCGTTCAAACGAAACACCTGCCTGCGCTCGCAGTCGATTCGCCACCATGGCCGTCGCATCAATCCAGGACCGCACCTCGGAGTTCAAGTCGGTCCTCGCCCAGGCGCAGCGTCGCCAGGCTTCCAACAAAGTCGGCGCGCAACGCCGGTCTCTTCTGACGGACCAGCAGAAGGCCGCCGCCAACGGCGATGGACGACCCAGGAGGTCGGACTTTGCCCGCCAAGCGGCGCAAATCGGCAGGAGCATCACAGGCACCATGGGAAAACTGGAAAAGCTGGCGACACGTAAGTGACGGGCTGCTGTCGGCGGACTTGCCTGGCCGCGGGCCACGGGCATCTTTGCGACCGTGGGATCGAGCTAACATTTTGTGCCGCGCAGTCGCCCGCCGACGAACCCTCTTCGACGACAGGCCTGTCGAAATCAACGAGTTGACGTTCATCATCAAGCAAGACTTGTCCTCCATCAACCAGCAGATCTCGCAGCTCCAAGCGCTGACAAGGAACCAACACCCAAAGGCCGACCAGGAGGGCGAGCACAACAAGAACGTCGTGTTTCTTCTGCAGGGCAAGCTCACGGATGTGTCGGCAAACTTCAAAGACGTGCTGGAGGAGCGTACGAAGAACATACAGGCATCGCGGTCGAGGACAGACAACTTCATCTCGTCTGTTGGGCAGCACACGCAGCCGCCCATTCAGCAATCGGCATCGCCGCTCTATGGCACGCCAAACAGAGGAACGCCGTCTCCGGGAGCTGACCTCCTGTCGCTGAACCCCGCGAGTGACCAGCAGTTGCTCATGATGGAAGAGGCGCAACCGCAGAACAGCTACATCAACCAGAGAGGCGAGGCTATTGAGGCTATTGAGAAGACCATCGGCGAGCTGGGCAGCATTTTTGGACAGCTGGCGACGATGGTATCGGAACAGAGCGAGATGATCCAGAGAATTGACGCCAACACGGAAGACGTCGTCGACAATGTCGAGGGCGCGCAAAAAGGTATGACATCTAGGCTTCTGACCTTGCCCAGAGCGCTTCGCGGAATACAGGCTAATCCGAGTATAGAGCTGCTCAAGTATTGGGGACGAGTATCGAGCAATCGCTGGCTCGTCGCAAGTAAGTCATCCTCAACCCCCCCATGGACAATCGTGTGACCGTGTGCTGATCGAGCTGGGAATAGAAATGTTCGGCGTGCTCATGATTTTCTTCCTGTAAGTCGGCATCCGGTTCTTATTCTTCCACACGGTGTCGTGCATCCATGGCTAACTGAGTGCCAGACTCTGGGTTCTCATTGCAGGTTAAGAGCGCGCTGGGCCGCGCGGGGAGTTGAGTTCCTTTTGTACTACCAGCATTGTACTGCCGCACCTTTGGAGCGCCATTTTCGGTTAGAGGCTGTTCGTTATAGATATCATAATCAAGCAAGGCTCATGTTCAGGGTGCCTACTTCTTTTTTCCAGCCAGAAGAGCCATGCGATCTGTCCTCCATGCACACACACAGGGCCCGGCCTCCACAGCCCCACGGCTCCGGAAGAATAGCGGGCGGAACCTTTGAAACGAAGAGGAAGCAACAACAAAGCTCACACTCTCACCATACTTAGTCAAGACGATCCGGAAAAGGCATGACTCGGGGAGCGGGGGACGGCGCAAAGGCCGGCTCCTTGCTCCCCCTCGCCGAGAGTGCATCAGAGGAAGGTCCCGCGGTAGAACTCTCGCAGGCCAAGATCCCGACACCGAGCATACTCGTTCGCTCATTTAGTCACGTCCCAGTAAAGGACCCCCACACTGCGCAGTTCAGCGTGTCACAAGCCTCTCCGGGTTACCCAACCTGACCCCCAACTAGGCGAGATGGCCGCCGCTACTAAGCTGAACGGGGGCGCACCAAGCGCCAAAAACTCGGCCAAGCTCAGAGCCCACTGCCAGGGCGAATGGAGGGGGCGCAAGCATCAATCCGCGAGAAAAATAAAACAACGTCGGCGGAACTGACCCCGAGAGGTGGCCCGTAGTGGAGCGAATTCTCCATGAATGGGGTCCCGCCTCTCCCACCAATGCGTAGACTCGATTGCCAGGGGGAGGGGCCAGGGGCAATGTGATGCGCGCTGCGACGGCCATCGTCATTGCAAAGGGGGCGAAGGAGAGGCGGGGGGCCTGGAGGGCCTCCCCTCAGCTGGAGATGGAGAACTGGGCGTTTCGCACCCGGCGTCGGGTTGATGAGGACCGTGGCTGTTTGTGGTGGGATTGATAACCCAGAGCATGCCCGCGGTCCTTTGCCTGGCTCGAGTCGCGTTTCTCTTCTTCATCTATAATACCCAAAACCCATCACGACCCCTCTGACCCCGCTGCGAACTACCCCGCCCCCGCCAAAACAACACATTTACCCATACCTAGCAACCGACATCATGGCCGACCAGACTTTCAAGCTCAACACGGGCGCCAGCATTCCCGCCATTGGTCTCGGTATGTTGATCGCATTATGACTCCCATTGGTGTGTTTCCATGCTCACAGGAAATCCAGGCACCTGGCAGGGTGAGGCCGGCAAGGTCAAGGCCGCCGTCTCCTTTGCTGTCCAGAACGGCTACAAGCTCGTTGACTGCGCGTACTGCTACGCCAACGAGGACGAGGTTGGCGAGGGCCTCAAGGACGCCTTCGCCGCCGGCGTCAAGCGTGAGGACATTTTCGTCACCTCCAAGCTTTGGGGAACCTACCAGACCAGCGATGCCCGCGTTGAGGAGGCTCTCGACAAGAGCTTGAAGAGCCTTGGCCTCGAGTACCTCGACCTCTACCTCATTGTGAGTGCTCCCGCTGACGAGAGACCTCCGGCCCAACATCAATTGGCTCTGTTTCCATGCAGCGAACGCTCGACTGACAATGCCCCAGCACTGGCCTGTGGCCATGAACCCCGAGGGCAACCACGACAGGTTCCCCACCCTCCCTGACGGCTCGCGCGACCTCATCCGCGACCACAAGCACACCGACACGTGGAAGTCGATGGAGAAGCTCCTCGACACTGGCAAGGTCAAGGCCATTGGCGTCTGCAACGTGAGTCCTCCGCCCAGCCTCCCCAATCCTGGACCCCTCGGATGAGCTGACAGCCCCCTGCAGTACAGCAAGCGGTACCTCGAGGAGCTCCTCCCCGTAGCCAAGGTCGTCCCCGCCGTCAACCAGATCGAGAACCACCCCAGCCTGCCCCAGGACGAGATCGTCAGCCTCTGCAAGGAGAAGGGCATCCAGATCATGTCCTACAGCCCCTTCGGCAGCACTGGCGGCCCCCTCATGAGCGCCCCTGTCATCGTCAAGATTGCCGAGAAGCACGGCGTCTCGCCCGGCACCGTCCTGCTGAGCTACAACAGTGAGTTCCTTTTTTTGGTCTCATCATGCGCACTCTCCTCTGCCAGTCGGGCGCACAAGATCCCCATGCTAACTGCACCCCGCCAGCCTCCCGCGGCAGCACCGTCCTCCCCAAGTCGACCTCGACCGACCGCATCAAGGCCAACCTCCAGACCGTCAAGCTCGACGACGAGGACCTCAAGTCCCTCAACGACTACTCCGCCGACCTC